CAGGCTCTTGGGCAAACTGGAAAGTTGCCTCTGTTCCCCGAGGCTACGCTCCTGCCTGACGCCCAGCTCCTTCCACAAACAAAGGTATCGGAATGTGTGCCCTGCGCGGATGCCCCTGGAGACAGCCACCCAAGGATGAGAACGCCCCACGTGGCGACGCCCCACGTCTGGCAGCTGGTCGCTCTGTGCCATGCTGTCCCTAACCACAGAGCAGAAGTTAGAGACAGGCCCAGGGGGCAGGGCCCACAGGACAGGTGAGGCCGCTGGTAATGCCCACTGATGAGCTCTTGGGGCCCCCGGGCCACTTGCTGCTTCGAAGCTGCCAGAACAGCCCCCTCTCGCCAGTGTTATTTAACAGGGCCGCATCTCATTCTACAGACAGGCAAGCCGAGGCTGCCAGGGATGGCGGGGGAGACGTGGTCAGGTCCCCAGGGATGTGGGGCTACTCACTGGCTGCCTCCATCATGCTGGCCCAGAAGTGGGGCTGCTTGTGCAGAGGGTCATCGTCGGGGCCGCTCAGCTTATAGACGTGCACGCAGGGCGGGGTGCTCACGCTGCTGTAGTGGCTGATGAACATGTCGAAGTTCTGTAGGCAGGACGGGGCGCTGAGCACTGCAGGACGCGTGTCCTTCCCGACCTCCCAGTCCACTTTGGCTCCCTCTGCCCCCGTCACAACCCACTTACTGTCTCTGCCCTGTGTGCTCGCTTGTTTAAACTTTAAAAGTCTTCCACTCCCATGAGGTGGGTGCTATTACCATCACCCCCATTTCACAGATAAGCAAACTGAGGCCAAGAGCAATCTGTCCCCTGGCCAGGGACCCCCGACCCCCGACACTTCCCTGGTGGTAACTGACCGACCCAGGGTCATACCCAGATCCTTCTGATGCCAGAGCCTGCTCACGTTGCTGGTTCTACAGCCCGCGGACTGCTACCAAATGCTTGCCCTGGACTGGAAGTAGCCCTGGGCACGTTCACTGCCTGACATTCTAGATCATTCTGACAGGCTAAGGCTGGGTGCCTTAATGGTGCCAGGCACATCTAGGGAGTGCCCACCTGGCTCATGGAGCAGCTGTGGGAGAAGCCGGGTGTGGTAAGGCGCACGATCTCGCCCGCCGACTCATAGCTGACCACATAGAGGTGGTGCTCCAGGGGCGTGTCCTTTGTACCTTGGAAGTACACCAGCTTCGTCTCCTCGTTGACCCAGATCTGTGGGGGCACAGGGGCTCCTCGTGAAGCAGCCCCAGGCCAGGCCTTGGACTTCTCGCGCCTCTGCTCCCACAGTGGCTGAGGGAGGGGGCTGATGCGTAGCGGAGAGACCCAGGCCCTTCTCCCTGCCCCCACAGGGAGGGCCCAGAGTTGTGTGCCCGGGACGTCTGTTCTCTCCCTAGTGGGCTTTAGCCCACCGGCTGGAAAAGAGCTAGCTGGGCGAGAAGCGCCTCGCAGACCTGGCGCGGCAGGAGGGGACAGCAATCTGAGCTCACCACATGTCCTCTGGTAGGACTTGAAATCGGAACGCCAACCCCAGACAGCCCCTTCTGGGCGTGCCCAGAGCTGTGAGTGCAGAGCAGAGGGCTCAGTGCCCAGGACAGAGGCTGAGGGAGGGACTGGCCTGTGCCCGAGGGCCCATCAGCCCCCAGCCCTGGTCCCCAAGGGGTCAGCCCACCCCTCTGACCCAGGTGCTCAAGGCTAAGATGCTTCTTAGCCTTGCTTCCTGGGTGAAGCCCCATCAGACCCCAGTGTGATGTTTAGCAATGAGGCCTCGGGAAGAACAGGAAGGAACCCTGCTCTGGGGACTGGAAGAGCCACTCACTGCCTTTCTGGGGCCGACCTGGGAACATGGAGGTAAAACACTTAAAGAAGGAGTGTTCTCTGACGCAGCATTATGCTCCAGGGATCTGTTCCTGAGGGCTTCGCTCGAGCGGTGACTTTAAGTGGAAGGACAAACACGCTGTGTTCTTAATATTAAAAAAAAGGCGGACTTGAATGTCCAAAAAGACAAACTGGTTTCAAAATTATGGCACACTTCTCTGCAGCCACATAAAACCATATTTTCTAAAAAAAAAAACCCAACCCCTTCAAATCCCCTAAAACATTGTCCTATGGAGGGGCGCCCGGCTGGCTCAGTTGGAGGAGCATGCAACTCCTGATCTTGGGGTCATGGGTTTGAGCTCCATGCTGGGTGCAGAGATGACTTAAATAAATCTTTGAAGAACAAAACAAAAACCCCCAATGTCCTGTGGAGGTGTGTGCATACAAAAATGCTATGCTGGGATTTTCGCTGCGGTCGGCCACCTCCGAGGGGATGAGGCTTCGGGAGCCTGGGTGGGGTGGGGAGTGAGGGGATCCCTAACGTAGGGTTACTTAGAACAGTTCAGTTTGTACAACAAACACTGATGTATCCTTTGCTGCCGTCCTTTTAAAATAAATGCAGGTTTTCCAGAAACAGAGAATGTGGCTGGGAAACCCCCACCACACGCAGTCACTTGCCAGTTTTGTCACCAGGACCACGTGAGAAGGTGCAGACACCGAAGGAGGTGCTCCCGGGGCACCTGGACCCCCCGAGGCCCCTAAATAGTGCAGGCGGCTCAGAGCTGCGCCCTGCCAGCACGCACGGCCTCCGGAGGGGACGTGAGAAGCCAGTCTTTCCCTTTGTAACCTTTAACATGCTGCTGTGTTGTCAACGAGACTTCAGTTAAGAGTAAAAATAAAAAGGGGCGCCTGGGTGGCTCAGTCGTTAAGCGTCTGCCTTCGGCTCAGGTCATGATCCCAGGGTCCTGGGATCGAGCCCCGCATCGGGCTCCCTGCTCAGCGGGAAGCCTGCTTCTCCCTCTCCCACTCCCCCTGCTTGTGTTCCCTCTCTCGCTGTGTCTCTCTCTGTCAAATAAATAAATAAAATCTTAAAAAAAAAAAAGTAAAAATAAAAATAAAATAAAATGCTGCTGTGGCTTTTTTTTTGTTTTTTTTAACATCTGGGTAAAAACCCAGGCGTGCAAGTGCTGCAAGGCCCACAGCGATGGAGAAAGGGGAGAACTCGGGCTGGCAGGTACGCCAGATGCTATGCTGGGGGCTTTGGGTTACTTTAAAGCAGGGTCCTCATCAGGGCGGTCCTCCCCCCCCCCCCCCGCCGGGGACATTTAGCAACATCTGGGGACATCTGTGGTTGTCACACCTGGGATGGATGGGCCGGGGAGGCTGATGTCCCATAGTGCCCAGGATGCTCTGATGTGGGCAGTGCTGAGGGGGAGAGACTCTGCCATAAAGATGAGCAGATCAGAGCTCCCTGAGGGTCCCATCTGACAGATGGGGAACGGGAGTGTAAGCACCCAGCACTGAGGGGCAGGGCTAGGCTGGGAGCCCAGGGGTGCCTCTTAGCAAGAATCAACCACAGAAAATGAGGAGGCAACCTTTAACCTTTTGGTAGCCGACCCCCCGACTCGCCTCACAAATAGGCGGTGAAATGTGAAATCTCACACCTTGCTTCTGTTCCAACAATTTACAGGGACGTCTTTCCAAGTCAGTGACCGGGCATTCTGTCAGGTGTGGTTACGCCATCACCAACGCCCGTATCTGTGCCACCTGGACGTACCGGTATCACTCCTCTCGGGCTCACTCAAGTGTGCACTGACCACTACTTCCCACTGCGTGAGCAGCTCTATAATGCACGCGTGCATGCTAACATCTCTAATGTCTGTCTTTGGTCCAGGAGGCATTTATGCTGGAGTGAGGTAGGGATCCAGGAAGTCTGACTAAGAGCTCTCTCCATAAAATTTGGAATTTTGTACAACCGGACCCTGGTGAAGACGCTTTGGTCAGAGGCAAGTCTTGCCACGTTTTTACGATGGTGCATCTGGGTGAGTGGAAGGTACTTGTCTCTGCAGCTGCATCTTTGTCCCCAAACCTCCTGGGGACAGACGTTGGGGCAGGCCCCGGTTGGAAGCTGCAGGACAATCCCACCATAGGCAAACTGTCCCGTAAACTGCTCTTCCAGGGAGAGGTGGTTTCATAAGCGGGAGAAGGCTAACAGAATGCAACAGGTGCACAGAGCAGCACCCACGACCCGGACTGGGCTTGTCTCCAGCTGGCCAGAACCAGAGCCCTGTGGCCCTGGGCATGCTGGAGCAGTGGATGGAGCTGAGTGGAGCAGAGCAGGAGGCAAGCGCAGCCAGGAGGGAAGAGAGGAGCCACAGGCACATGGGGTCTGCAGGGAAGCTGGAGCGAGTGTACGCACGTGTCTGGGCACGTGTGTGCATACAGGCGTGCGTGCAGGGTGGGTGGGGAGGGTTGCAAAGAGATTCTGGTACCTTGGAGCCGTGCCTTGCCAAAACCTCCCATTCACCGCTAGTCAGCGCGATCTCCTCCTTGATGGGGCATTTAAATTCATCTGGAAGTAAGGAAAGGAAGAGGTGAAGGGGGCCCCAGGCAGCCGTGAAGGGGACTCGAAGTCCCCGAGGCCAAATTCCACCTGAGTGAATTTGCCACAGAGCCCCATGCCAGCAGGGCCAGGTGGGAGATGAGAGTGAGCTGGCTGAGCCTCCGACGCGGGATGGAGCGGGGACCCCCCCACTGGCCACGGGGGCTGTGTACAGGATCCAGCATCTCCCAGGGAGAACCGGACAGCTGCGTTTGTATGGGAAGCACTGATCTTAGAACCCTGCAGAAGCCAAACCATCAACTTCCGGGCTCTCGACCTGTGACCTCTTAGCACATGTTCGGATTCTGGAGAACCAGATCTGGGTTAAAACGCTTTGGCTGAGCAAAGGCTCGGCTGAGTTTTTATGACAGATTTTTTGGATTTTGGGGGGCAGATCTCACTTTTGAATTTCCGCTAGGTAAATAACTACGGGATGCCTGCTGGTGTGTGTTACAAATTTATTGAGACACTTTACGAGTGATGGCTGTTTTGTTCTGGGCACAGCTGAATCTGGGATCCTCCTGTGTCCCTCACTCACGTGGAGGCTGGACACGGCCGATCGGTCGCTCGTTCAGATCTTTTTTTTTTTTTTAACATGGAATGCTTCGCGAATTTGCATGTCGGCACAGAGGCCCTGCTACTCTTCTCTGTATCGTTCCAGTTCTAGTGTGTGTGCTGCTGAGGACAACACTCATTCAAATCTTTACGGTGCCGTTCTTGGTCGCGCCTACAGAAGGTGCTGGGTGGGGGGCACAACCGCACGTGGCCACCGTTGAGAGCCCTGCTTCTGCTCCATTCTCCCGCCCCTCCAGGAGGACCCGGTGCGCCCAGCGGCCGGCCGGCTACGCACTTCCCCCCTGCAGCCTCTCACGGGAGGGGCTGCCAACCACACCCGCTCGGCCTTCTCTCGAGGGACCCTCCACTGCGAAGGACACCTCGCGTGGCCCGGACACACTGCCCCTGCCAGTGCCGTCCCCACTTCTGCTGGTCCTCCAGGCTCCTGACCCTCCTCCCTCTCCCCCAGGCCGGCTGATGGCGCCTTTAAAGAACTCATGCCTTTTGGTCCAAAGTGACCAAGGTCTCGCCTTCTCGGCCGTCCAATTGTTGCCTACCAGGCCTGAGCCACGTGACGGGAAGTGCAAGCTGGAGGGCAGGTGGGCCCACACAGCGTGGATGGGAAACCTGGTGCACCCACCACAGAGGCTGGAGGGCCCCCGGGGCACCTGCCGTGAGCTCCACCCAGCGACCACCAGAGCCTGGAAGGAGGATGTGCCAAGTGAGGTCTCCTGAAGTGAGATTAGGTGGTGGTGGCTAAGTCAGACAGACAGACAAACGGGAAAGCACAACACCAAGACAGCCACAGAAAACCCACCTCAGAGATGGCCTAGCCAGCCCGTGCTGACTGTGTTACGCCCCAGGTGACAGTGGTGACAACACCCCGAGACAGCAGGCACTCCTCTGTCCCCGTCTCACTTGACCCCCATCAGCTCGTGGCTTCGCCTGTTCCTGACCCCTGGCTTGGCTCCCGTGGACACCTCACTCTCTCCGGTCTCCATGCCCCATGCGGCGCTGCCTCAGGCTTGTTTGTGGGCTGCCTCTGAACTGTGGGGCTCCCCTGGGGCGATCCGGCCCTGGGGGACACTGGGCGATGTCTGGGGACATCTGGGGCCGTCACGATCGTGGGTGCTCCTGGCACTGAGTGGGTGGGGGTCAGGGGCGCAATGCTCAGCCCCGCAGAGCCCGGGATGCCCGCACTGAGGACAAGCTGGCTCAGCTCTGAGTCACACCGTGGTGACTCAGAGATCAAAGTTCATCCAGAATCAAATCTACCTGCGTTAGCCCAGCCTGCTGCCATGACCCATCCCTGTCACCTCTCCTTGCCCCTCAGGTTATACTCCACACAGCAACCCTAGGAATGGCTTTCAACTGATATAAGATCAATGGTAAAAGCCCAAGTCCTTCCTGAGGCCCCCAACGCCCCACATGACCTGCTTCATCCCCTCTCTGTCCACCCCTCCTCCATCTCTCCCCCTCACTCACTCTGCTCCAGCCACAAGGGCCTCCTCACTGCTCTTCCAACACACCAGGCAGCTACTGCCCCAGGACCTTTGCACAAGCTGGAGAGCCCGAGGGGCCCTGGGCTGGCTCTCAGCCCACACTGCTTCCCCACCCAGACCGGCCTGTGGTGCTCCCTCCTGTCCTGAGGCTGTGAGGCCGGAGAGGCCGTCTGTGAGGACACCCACACGCCCACTGCAGATGTGTTCTGCTCGCCGGCACTCCGGGCACGCAGACCACACAGCACAGCCACTCCTGGGCACTGTACCGTGAATACCTCCAAACCCCAAATGGACATTTCTTTCCTAAAACTGCCCCTCCCATAGTCTTTCTGTCTCACACTGACCCTCCAAAAACCCTCCATGCTCCTGTGCCTTTCCTCTTTCTCTCTCTGACCCTACATTTAATCCACCAGCACACCGTGGTGACTCAGAGATCAAAGTTCATCCGGAATCAAATCTACCTGCGTTAGCCCAGCCTGCTGCCATGACCCATCCCTGTCACCTCTCCTTGCCCCTCAGGTTGTACTCCACACAGCAACCCTAGGAATGGCTTTCAACTGATATAAGATCAATGGTAAAAGCCCAAGTCCTTCCTGAGGCCCCCAACGCCCCACATGACCTGCCTCATCCCCTCTCTGTCCACCCCTCCTCCATCTCTCCCCCTCACTCACTCTGCTCCAGCCACAAGGGCCTCCTCACTGCTCTTCCAACACACCAGGCAGCTACTGCCCCAGGACCTTTGCCAAGCTGTGCCCTCAACCTGGGATCTGTGGGGCTGCCTCTGCCACCTGTTCCAGGTCTCTGCTTCATAACACATTATCCAGAGATGATCCCTGACCTCCCATGCTAGAAAGAAGGCCCCTCACTCTCTAGCCTCTTATCCTGCTGCATCTGCCACCACGAACATCACTCTCGATGGTTTTTGCATTACTGCCCATCTCTTCCACTAGAGAGTTCCATAAGAGCAGGGATTTTCCTTTCTCTTCTTATAATTATACCCCTGGCACCTAGAGCAGCGGTTGGCCACTTTTCCTACAAAGGGCCAGATAGCCAATATTTTCCGCTTTGCAAGATACATGTCACACCACCGTCACACTACTCAACTCTGTCATGGTGGCATGAGATCAGCCACAGACACTCCATAAATGAATGAGCGTGACCATGTGCCAATAAAACTTTATTTATAAAGACAGGCGGTGGGCCAGATTTGATCCATGGCTGTGGTGTGCCAACCCCTGGGGTGAGACAGGCCTGGAGCATAGTAAGTGCTACACAGATACCACTGACTGAATGAACAGCTGGCTCTAATAACCCCTGCCAGGCCGTGACCGATGTTCGGGAAAGGCTGGCTTTTTCTTCATCCTGACCCTCCCTCATGGGACTGGTCACAGGGCGGGGCCAGTGAGTAAGCAGTGCACTGAACCACAGACGGCTGACCGGGTGAGCGGTGGTGTTAATCAGGCTTTGCTCACCTTCCCCAGGGCTGAGAGGCTCACTCCAGTCGTAGCCACTGGGCTTTAAGATGGCAGTGACTTTGTACAAGTGGCAGAAGCCAGTCTTGCACTCGTTGGCACGGATGAAGCAGAGCTCCTCCTCTCCCTCTGACTGGGGGAAGGGATAGAAGATATCATGAACCTGTCCGGGAAGAAGAGGGAGGAGGCATCAGAAGGTGGGGCTCTGACCGTTGGCTGGACTCATGTGGAGGACAAACCCAGCCCCCTGGGACTCCCGCCCTCCCTGGCCCTGCTCTGCTGGGGATCTGGGGACCCGGGCGGGTGCACACCCGGCAGCTCCCCACTCTTACGTTGATCCACACATCGGTGACCTCCTCATATACGACATGCGGCTGGACGTTCCTGGGCACTGCTCTGGCGAAGGCCATCCGCTCCTCCTCATTCTCGGTAGTGGGGATGAACAGGGCTGGGGGTAGCAGGACGAGCTGAAGCCGCTGCTGGGGCCGATCCAGGAACATAGCCCAGGCGCTGAGAAAGCAAGAGAGAGAAGCTGAAGGCCTCAGGGCCCAGCGGGGGGAAGCCGGGTGACGACACCTCCCTTCCCAAACTTATGTGGGACCAGAACCATTCTTCCTTTGCCAACATTGTCTACACTTGACCAAGTAAGACCGTAGCACACAACGGTTTCTGGGCCAGCACATGCCCTCAGGGGAGCCCAGAGGGGTGATAGACCTCTATAACCCAACTAGTTTGGAAACATCTTGTGTCATTAGACTTTAGAGCGGCACTTCAAAAACGTTTGCGATTTCTGCCACATACACGATTCTTTACTTCCTGTTTTGCTCTGTATGAACAATGTTCTTTCTTTATTTTGGGGGGGAATAAATTGTTTATTCTGTTGAACATGAGTCCTTAAGGACTTGAGATGGAAGCAAACAGCAACTTAAAAAAAAAATCCTGTTGGGGGGGGGGGGCGCCCGGCTGGCTCAGTCGGGGAGAGTGCAACTCTTGATCTCAGGGTCATGAGTTCGAGCCCCACACTAGTGTAGGGATTACTTAAAAAAAAAAAAAAAAAAAAAATCCTGTTTGGGAGCTCTTTTGTCATTATGTTCTGTCCTCAAAACAACTGCTTTGAAACAGAACTTTGAAAAACTGAAAAAAAAACTGTATCTTTTCTAACTGTAAATGGACAACGTGTTTGAGGCCTGTTAGTACTGTAGGTGGGAAACCTGGATCTCTGCATGGAGACAACAACGGAGACCAAACCAGCGAGTGACGCCACAGGGACGTGCGTGTCCACCGGAGCCTGTGGCCCACCAAAGGCATGGGGCCTCCATCCAGGCTCTGGGATGAGTGTGTGGAGCTGGAGGAGCAAACTGTCTAGCAAAGAGCCAGCAGGTAGACAGCTCCGCTTTGTGGGCCACACAGTTTCTCTGGGCCGGCCCTGCCGACCTAGCGTGAAAGCCGCTACAGACGATCCGTACACAAAGGAGTGTGGCCATGTGCCCATAAAACCTGATTTATAGACACTGAAACATGGCGTTCGGCTCATTTTCATGTGTGATGAAACACTCTCCTCCTTTAGGGTTTTTTTTGTTTTTAACCCCTGATCATTCAGAAGCACAAAAGCTGTTCCCGGCTCATGGGCTAAAAGAAAACGGGCATCAGGCCCAATCTGGCCTGCGGGCAGCGGTCTGGGGCCCCGTTTAGAGAGGTTCGTCCTCATCGTGGCAGGAGGGTTACCACGTGAGTGACAAGGAGTGACAAGGAGAGCCCTCCGTGTCCTGCTGACACTCACTGCTTGCCGTCCCGGGTCCACCCGGCCCTGGCGATGTACTCCACCCTGGGGAAGAGCGTGCTAAAGGGCTGCACCAGCTCCTTCTCCTGTGTCGCCACGACCTAAAGGGAAAGCAGACTCGGGTCACACTCTGGCCTGACCACACGCTGCCCAGGAGGAGACGGGCGCTTCCGCAGCAGACACGGTGCCCCCCGGACCCCTATGTCGGAGTCCTGACTCCTGGCGCCCCCCAAATGGGGCCGGATTCGGAAACAGGGTGGTTGCCGGTATCATCAGTTAAGGTGGTACTGGAATAGGGTGGTCCCAATCCAAAAAAGGGGGTGGTCGCCTTATGGAGCGTGGATCCCAGGGCCAGAGGGGCAGAGAGATGCCTTGTGGCAAA